TGACTTCACTCCCCCTGCCCCAAGAACAACTACCAGGTATCAAGAAACCACTGAGAGAATCCTAGAACATGAGGTGAGGCTGAAGCGCCTCCCCGCACCACAGGGACCAAGGCAGAGCGCTTCACAAGGATGGCATGGCACTGCTGAGCTAGCTTGTCACATGCTTTTGGTTTCACTGAGAGACATCCATCTGCCACCACATTCAATAATGATTCCCAAAAAATGTAGATGGAGGAAGAAAAGAGGGGGAGGAGGAGGAGGAGAAGGAGGAGGAGGCGGAGGAGGAGGAGGAGGAGGAGGAGGAGGAGGAGGAGGAGGAGGAGGAGGAGGAGGAGGAGGAGGAGAGGAGGAGGAAGAGGAGGATGGCAGAAGACTGTGATGAAGGCAATAATGTTGCCCATCAGGTGTAGTCTAGGATCTGGCCAGGTACTAGATTCCCTCTAGTCATGAAGTCAAAGGCAGACAATAGCCACTACATCCTCCCCTTCCCTGTGGCGATGACCTGAGGACAATGTAGTTCACTCAGCATAATTACTGATACAGGTTTAGAAAGAAGTCTTTGATATGAAAGTAAAAGCCAACAATCCTAGGGCAATTTAAATATTTTAAAGGAGCTTTTGGCCCAGGGACAGGGATTTTAAAAAGTAAGAACTTGCTTATACATAGTTCATTTACATTATTTTGCAAAAATTCCATACCATCCTGTGAGGGGTGCGAAGGTGAAGAAGAAAAGGCAAGAAATCAGAGACTTCCGGGGGAGTATACTTATATTGAGGAAAGTCTCTAAATCTATTTTTGAATTACATTTTATGAGGTAGAAAACCATCCCCAGTGGGTATTTTAACTCTACTTAATAATATTACTCTGACTTAAAAAACAAAACAAAACTGCTTCTGCTATAGTCTTAAAAAAAAAAAACCTGCTATTTTTAGAGGTTTAATATATTGCTACTTTGAGCTTATGTTGCCAGTAACAGAGATTTGTTATTTATTTAAACTTAGTCTTAAAAAGCTTATATCTACACACATTTTATTTGGCCTAGAGTATAAAATTATAGAGGAAAACAATAAATAACAGAAAAACATACCAATATAGTACATTAAAGTATATAATTGGATATTAGAAGGCTCACACAAACGAAAGAGAAGTTTACGTCTATATAGCATTCCACATCAGTGCATGCCTACTAAAGCTGACCCACCAAAGCCCACAAGTCTGAGACAGGGTGACCGTTTTTAATAACATTCATTCTAAAATGTATTCACTCATTTACCTGAGTCTCCTAATTAAGCTACTTATGATAACACAAATTTGTCATGCCAAACAGAAATTCTAATACTGTTTCAACCCCCCTCCCTCACCCCCCAAGCTCCTCAAGTATGGTTGCCTGTGCGGGCAGCACACGTATGTACACACATGATAGTCCTTTGCCTCTACCTTCCCTGGAACTTATGGGTTTCAGTTTTTCCTTATAACATCTCCCCTTCAGTAGATTTCCATCTTTTCACCTGCTGTAATACACAATTAACCTTAATTTAAAGGTACTGTAACACCTTGTGGGTGAGAGATAAAGGGATAGCAAAGTGTTAACAATTTTTCTTTGGCTCCGAGTTGTGTGTGTGTGTGTGTGTGTGTGTGTGTGTGTGTGTGTGTGCGTGTTTAATCTGTTTATGGTAGAGTCAATAGTTTCAGTAGGGTAGGTATTCTTTATCTTTTACTAGGTAAAAATAACAGTATTTTCTATTGACCACTGAAAGAGATTCTTGATCAAATACATCAGATAATCAATAAAACAGTTACATAAGCTGAGTCTGTTTTCAAGTTAGTTCTCAATTATTAATAATGATTGTTCACGATGCACTTTAATATGTATCTACTTTTGTGAAGTATCATTGTGATTCTATTCTACTCCTACCTTCCAGCCCCCAACCCCTCCTTCTTCCACTCCTGGTGGGCACTTAGGAAATGTCCATTAAATTTAATTCTGGGACAAATGAAACCTATTTAATATTTTTCCGATATAAATCTCTTTATCGAGTTATATAAGGATAGACATTTTTTTTCAGTTGTCTGCATTGTGAAACTCAAATATTCCATTACCTCTTAGATGAAGTTCAACACATGACAGATTAAGCAGCAGCTGTCAATGTGGAGGGCGGTGCTAACAAAGGAACGTACCTACTTAGATGCTGATACCACTGAAAAGGGCCTTATGATCATACTCAGTTTATATCCTTTTACTAAAGGCACACAAAACTGACTTGTTGAAAGCCGTACTGTTAGTTAGTGGACAAGCCAGAAGCCTCATCCAGATTTCCTGGTTCTGGTTGTTTGGTTCACTCTATACCGCTAAATTAAGATTTCTGTGTTATGCTTAATTACAGTAAAATGTACATAATATAAAAGTTACCATCTTAACACTACTAACATTTATGTTTGTACTTTGGAACAAGGAAAGGCAATGCAACAAGCATCAGTGCAGCAAAGAGGAACACATGGTCACCACATAGAAATTAAATCCTAAGACTCCTTTCCGGATGGGAGACATGTGGTGTTCAGATCTACAGCTCTGCAGAGAAAAAAAATTATTTTCTTCCCACACAGAGCACGCACCATCCACTACTTGCATTCCCATTTAGGAGAAAGGCCAGCTGTACTCTTTAGATTTCACTAGTTTAATACAGAAGCCCGATTAAGTCTCTCCCAAACCAACCTCTGAAAATGGATACATAATACTATATGACAGTGGGGGGAAAGTAGTACCCAGCAACCACAGGCATCCTTACCAACTAAAATATTTCCCTTAATAAGAATGGCTCTTACTGTTAAATAAATACTTGCTGGTGGCATCCTCCCAACAGTGAAAGGACAGCTATCTGAGTGCTGAGTTTCTTGATGCTAACCTTCTCTTCCGTGCACCATGGTTCAAGCAGAGACACACTCACTCACTATCAAGATGGTAAGAGAGTCACTTTGCAATGTCCTGTTTCAGATGTTACCAAGTATGACTCACACTTTCTCCCACCCACTTCCTCCTCTGAACTTTCCTTGCTTGAAAGTCAGCATTTAAAATCAATCCTCCAAACCTCAAGAAAATAAACCAGTGGCTCCTTTTTGGAATTTTCTTTTGTTTCAGGGGCAGTGAAAATTGTACCATAAGGTGGGTTTCACTTCAAAGTTCTAAACACATCCATCAAGCACTTTTTACTCTAATATTTTAGTATCAGTCCTTTTGAATTTCTGCCTATGTTAATGCCAGTTAAGACACAGCACCATACCAAAAAAAAAAAGTACATAGATTTAGGACTTGGATTTGTCACTTACAAATTTTGATAGAATTATCAAATTTTCAATTCTCAACTCTCCTTCCTAGATTGTTATTTGAAATTGATAAGAGACTAAGCAATGGAAACTTTTTTCTTGTCTTCAGAGATGGAAACAACTTTCTATTCCAGCATCTACCATGATGCTTCCATGGCACCTCTAATCCAAGAAATTCCAAATACTTTGTAAAAAGCCATTATTTATTAATATTTCAAAAGTACTACACTGACATGGATAAAGAATACAAATGCAATGGTCTTACCACTGCAATTGTATCAAAGTTCCTGCTACAGCACCGGTAAACTATGAGCACGTTTCACCAACAAATCAGCTCTCTGCTGGCACAAGGGCAGAAATGCCACTCAGGTGGTTCTCAGGACTCTTCAGAAAGGATGTCAACTTCCAGTGTGCCACAGTCTCACCCCCCTCTAGTGTATGACTCATGGCTGCAGCACTCACTGACATTTCCCACATTTTGGCATTTATGTTTGTGACTCATGGCATCCGGGATTCAACACTGGCCTGGGAATCAGGGCACAAGGGGTCCCGGCTATTATTATAACCCTGGAAAATCACTTCAGTTTTCTGGGACTGTTCCTACTTCTATAAATGGATTGCTGGCTCAGGCAATTTTTAAGGAGTCTTCTAATTATAAATGGTGTGTTAATTAGATTTAAAAAAAAAAAAAAAAAAAACTCAGGCCGAAACCAGTTTGGCTCAGTGGATGGAGCGTCGGCCTGCGGACTGAGAGGTCCCAGGTTCGATTCCGGTCAGGGGCATGTGCCTGGGTTGCGGGCATATCCCCGGTGGGAGATGTGCAGGAGGCAGCTGATCGATGATTCTCTCTCATCGATGTTTCTAGCTCTGTCTCTCTCCCTTCCTCTCTGTAAAAAATCAATAAAATATATTAAAAATAAATAAATAAATAAATAAATAAATAAATAAATAAATAAATAAATAAATAAAAAACTCAGAAGCCTGGAAAGAGTTACAGATAACTATTGGCTAATTTGTGACTACTTCCATATTCATGTCCTTACAAGACACATTTGCTAGTATAAGTTAATCTTCCAAGTCTATTTCTTCTATTAAATTAGAAATGTCTGAAAAGCAAAGATTATGCAATTTCCTCTTGCTTAGACCATAAATATTAGGGGTGCAGCCCTAATACCTAGCAACAAAGAACCTTTGCTTCCTCTGTAAATAAAAGCAATGTTGTGTTTGCCTGTATCAAAATCTACACACTCTCTTCTGACTCCTGAAATCACAACAGGTCGACAGAACCTACAGAAAGTAGGGGAAAAACCCGTTACCAGCTAGAGCTAGAAAACTGTTTCCCTGGGCGGAGGGTGATCTGACTCATTCATTGCACGGGTGCTATGAAACAGTTTTAAAACAGTAGCGGAGCATCGACTTGTGAACCAGGAGGTCACAGTTCGATTCCCAGTCAGGGCACATGCCCAGGTTGTGGGCTTGATTCCACAACCGGTAGTGAGGTGTGCAGGGGGCAGCCAATAGACGTTTCTCTCTCATTGATGTTTCTATCACTCTATCCTTTCCTTTCCTCTCTCCCCCCACCGCCCCCTCCTCTCATCAATAAAAACATATTTTTAAAAATATTATTTTTTTAAAGGATCAGTGCTCCCTCCTACTTATAGGCCGGTCTCATGCTTTACCTTCATCTCCTGGTGCTGGTCCAGCTGTTCCAGTTCCGAAGAGCTTTCTCCGTTTTCCTTCTCTTGACCCTTGGCGTCTGTGTCTGCCCTTTCTTCTTCCAGGGGGAGGGCTGGGTCCACACTGGGCGCCCTGCAGCTGCTGTCAGAAGCATTCCCATCACAGTCATTTGTTGCGGGTGAGGCGGGGCCCGTGGTACTTTCGTCTCCTGCTCCATTCACTAAGTCCGTGTCAAGCAAGGGTTCAGCAGCTTGAGTAGGAGTATCTGGGCTACCAGTGGCCCCTTTGTCCTCCTCACATTCCACCTGGTTTTGTGCCTCCATCACACCGTTAGCCACACAAGTTTGTACACCCTGAGTTGGCTCCACATCACTTCCCTGCTTCTGTGGTGGGTCCTGGGAGGGGAGCTTTTGCTGAGGTGTGGTTGTCAATCCATGCCTTCCTGTGGTTCTAGGAACACTTAGGGTCACAGCTGAATTTTTCTTCAAATCACCGTAACTTGATAATGTGCTAAAAGACGAAATCCAGAGGAAGTGTGAGAACACTGGCATGGACCAGCTCTAGAATAAAAACAAGTTTATTCCAGCGGAAAGGGGATAGTTAGTAAAGACATTTCCCCTGCTGATGGTTTTAGAAACACAGATAAGAATATTCCAGTGTAGTTTTCAGTCTCTGGCAATGCTATCTGCACTTCAAGAAACATTTAAATAAAGATGACAGGCCTGACCATTATCTATAAGGGCTGAAACATTTCCTTGGGCTGTTTATCAATATTGCCAGTTAGTAGAGACTTAAATATGAGAAATATTTATATTTATAAAACCATCTTTTGCCAAGACCTCTTTCTTAACATTTTAAAAACAAATAGAGCCAGTCCTCAATGTATGAAAAGATTAGAAACCAAAAGTTATTTTTGTTTGGGAAGTGAAATACATCTCAAAAACTTGATTGCACATGCTGCCATAGCCTCCTAACTCATCTCTCCGCTCCCACGCCCGGTCCCCTCCAATCTAGTCTCTCCAAGTTGGCCACAGAGATCAAACTCAGCGCGGGCTTCCCCACACACTTAAAGGTCAATCTGGCATCCTGACCATGGCCCTGGAGATTCTGTATGCTCTGCTCGCCTGGCCTCATTAAATTCCATTTCTCCTCACTCCCCGTGCTCTTGCATTTCTGTCTCCTTGCTGTCCCCCCACCTCCCAGTAAGCGAACACACGCATCTAAGGATCTCTGCGCTGCTGTTCTCTCTGCCCAGGACCTTCTCCCCTAAGACACTGGCTGGCTTCCTCCTGCCCATCACTCAGGGTTCTGCTCAGATGTCACCTCCTGGATGGTTCTCTCCAAGACAGCATACTCCACCACTAAATAAACATTTTCTTTTCTTTTCTTTTTTTTAAGTTCTTATTATTACTTACCAACGTATAGACCAACAATAGTATGATGGAACCTAACTGCCAATATATTTTAATATTCCTATGGGAATATTTGTATAACATCTTAATCTAGGATTCCAAGGAGGAAAAACATAAAACTCTGGGCTGCAGTCTTGGAGAGATTCCTATGACCTAACGAGGAATAAAGATAAATTTAGACTAATGCTCCAAGAGGGTGCAGAGCGTATCTGTCCTGTTCTCTGTGCTATCCCGACTCCTTAGCACAGCACTTGCCATATGAAAAGTGCTCAGTAAGTACTCAATGAGTAATAAATAACTGTGGTTGTGATGATGATCATGGCACCAATTCAGTATTAGCAGCTAACATTTATTAAATGCCAAAACCTACACCAAGCCCTTCATAATGGTTATCTTGTTTCAGCCTCAAAATAGTTCCAAAGTAGGGCCCCCATAAATCCAGGCTTTGAAACTCACATAAAGTGGCAATGTCACATGGCTAACACATGAGAAGGCCAGAGTTCAAACCATGAAGTCCGATGCTAAATCCCACAGTCTAACCCCACATTATAATAAATGCACTGGGCCATGAAGGAGGGAGAGAGGAGCAAGTGAGTAGGCCGCATACAATTGTGAGAAGACAGCCCAGGGCTCGCATCCTCCCAGTACAGGAAGACATCAGAGGGTAGAGACGGGAGAAAGGGGGGGGGGGGGGGCGCGGCGCGCGGGCGCACCAGGCACAGCAGCACGGGCCATGGACGATGCTGAGATGTGTGTCCCCCTCTTTCCTCACTCCACTCCTCCCAGACACTGCTGATCTGGACTAGAGAATGGAACAGAGAATAGCAACAGATAGCAGGAAAGTAATAAGGGAGGAAAGAAGACATGGTCAGTTTCAGCTCCACAGGAAGGAAAATATTGGTAGGAGAATACATCATCTATGTAAAAGTTGGAGGTTATCAAAATAAACAAAGGTGACACACTCCATCAATGAAGGTTGTCTTCTATGAAGTATACCCTTGGCCTAGATAATTTCCCAAATGGTCCTTGGAGAACTGAATCAAACTGTACTCCTTTTTCTGACCATATGAGCAACCCAGTAGAAAGACCCTCAGAAGATCCTCTGTAGCAAGCTTTGGGCTTGCTTAGGATTTCTGGAAAGGACGGCTGTGGATGACAGGAGGGAATTTCCTGCAATAAGTGACATCCAGGGGACATGTGGGGGGAATGGGGTAAGGGATGAGGTGGGGGGTTAGTAAAAGCAGTGGTTAATTCGTAGGAGATTCCTGATGCTTTGGAGAAAAACAGTTGGCCTAAGCAGTGTCCTTGGGAAAAATCAATGTTCAGTTTTGTGGGGAAATCTGATTTATTTCTAAAATCCTGAAATATGTCATAGGTTAAAAAGACTAGTTTCTCTTACTGTCCAAAAAATAAATAAATAAATACATAAATACATAAATAAACTACAGTAAAAAATAAAATTTCACTTGTTTCACTCCTCTGTGTCACTTATCTTAATAAAACAGAACTATCTAAATTATTATAAAGAGCAAAACTCTGCTACATGGGTGAGGTCTTAACAAGTGCAATTGGTCTTCTATGATGCCACTGCAGCAGACATTGGTTCTTCCTGTCAATCTACTGTGGTAACGCACAGCCCGCCAAATCTCCCTCTCGTCCACAGAGTGCTGGTTCAAGCTGTAATAACTGGGGTATAACCCGAGAGCTATACTGCAGGCATATGGACATCAGTGGACAGGAAATACAAACTTCCCATTCAAGCCCCATAGACCCAAAGCAGTACTAACCCCTCAGGCACTTTTAGGGTCAGTTTCTACTCACGACACCTCACTGAGAACATACAGCTATGTTTCATATTGGCAGTGGACTTGGCCACAAGTAACAGGCCTTCAGCAGATTTGCCAAAATGCTCATGTGATATCCTAGCTTCACTTAGAACAAGTTTTCTTAAAATGTCATAAATTATAGCCCATCTCTCTCCTTAGATCCAACCTTCTAGCTTTGCATCAAACTATGACTTTGTATCTGTGAAGTCTGAAAGAATAAAGGAAAACTGGTACCAATGAATGGGAAAACTGTGTACCTTTTGCATATGGAGAGGAATGCAAAGAGGGGGTTACCAGATTTGTGAGGTTTAGAGGACTCAACCTTTGGAATACTGACCCACTCAGGGGATTCGGGTTCTGGCACGCACCGTGAACAGGGGCCAGGGCTCCAGGGCCTCGCTATATGACAGTACATGGCCCTGGAAACCTACAAATATGAGGGGTCGTGCTCTCTGAGATTAAATCAACTTGTTCTGGGAAACAAAAATTTTAAGTGGAATTAAATCATTTAGTAGATTGCTATAATTTAAGATAGCAAAGCTATTAAAAAATCCTACTTCCGAGGAGGAGATGTTGAAATTTAAATATTCATGACTCAGGCTCCCCCAGTTGACGGGGAACAAAAATTGAAGACAGGCTTCTGAACTAATTTTCTCCAGAACTTGTTACTAAATATAGTCTCATTTTAAATGAGGGACACCGCCGCTTAGTAATGGGTCACAATTTCCAGAAGATTTTGAAAGCATTTCCAAACTTAGGTTCATTACATATATAACAATAAATCCTGCAAACAGTACAACCACCTAATATTCCCAAATATTACACTGGATTTAATGGAAATTAGTGGCTTCAAGGATGAGAGTAAACGTATACATATTCTGTTAAATTATATATAGTCTCTTGGTGACATAAAAATAACAAAATGCTTCTGATAAAATTTTTCCAAAACTCTATTTGTCAGTGATGGGAATTCTAAGAAAAAACAATTGAGGGCCATATAAGTAGAAAAGCAACTTATGTGAGTTTGTTTTTTTTCTTTAAGTGAGAAATACAGTGTCTCACCTACCTTTTTTGAAACATTAGGACTAAAGGATATAAAACTATATCAATTGTCAATATCTCTTCACAATACCTAGTATATAGTAAGAGCAGGGGTATGGGGAGAGGGGAAACAGATACAGATTGGATACAGAAGACCCATGTTAAATACAATGGGTCAGAAAGAAGCTTGCAGAGATGGGACAGGACCACTGGAGTCACATCCACAAACATACAAAGCAAGAAACAGAGATAGAGACAACCTCCTGCCTTCCCAACCCAGATATCCAGTGACCAACACAATGACCCCAAGGACACACACAGATACCGAGGCACTGAGAGGGCACGCCTATAACACACATAGCACACAATGCGAAGAAGCGGGTGCTATTAGTGCTGCACATAGATAACGAACAGTAAATGACAGTTTCTATTGGGGCAAGATTAAATACGTTTAAAATTCACTATTTCTAAAGGCCTACCAAACCCAATGGAAGAAAATTTATGTTTGATTTGGAAAACTTATGACTCTGTCATCTTTTTCAAAACTCAGCTTTCGTCTCCCCTCTGCCTTCTCCCGTTGTGAATTAGCTCTTACCTGCCTCCTTCAAAGCGACTGATGAGATCTGATATTTTACTGGATTTTTCTTTTGAGACACAAGAAGCAGAGGCAGGTTTAACTTCCTCCATCCTGGGTGCTGCACTAGATAAAGCTTTATGCTTAGGGGTTGGGTGTATACTGGACAAAGGTGAATTCTGCAGATGTAATGGCTTTGGAGGCACTGTAGAAAAAGAATTAATAGAATTCAGTATTTCCTTAACAAAACAAAGCAAAATCTGGTGTCCTGGGTATAAAAAGCTTCAGCATTATCAAACTTTTATCAAGAGGTCTGTCAACTTTGTATTGAAACTTAACCAAGCCTTATCTATCTTGGCTCTGTGTCTTGTGGAAATTTCATCTCCAAGATTCAAGTAGTTCTTTTCATTTTAGGTAATTTGAAATATGGTATTATTAAACACCTAGGGGTCTACATAGGGCCATGGCATCCCAATACTATTAGATATAACATAGCAGTTATTTATCTAATCAGAGAAAGGAGAGTGCTAAATTTAAAACTAATTCCTAGAGATATACTGCTTGCTTACAAAAGACATTTTTAATAACACCGAATAACACACCAGAATCCAGACCAATAAGTTAAACATAAAAGCCAACAAAACAACAGCAACAAACAACAGTAATGTTGCATTACTATAACATCTTCCCATTTAACAAAAGCATCTTATCTCATTTGATCTTAGACAAAAATGATCAGTGCATGGGCCAACACTCTAACCATTGAGCAACACCAGCCAGGGCTCATAGCTGGTTGGAGCATCTACCATACACCAAAAGGTTGCAGTTTTGATTCCTGATCAGGGCACATACCTAGGTTGCGGGTTAGATCCCCAGTTAGGGTGCATATGGGAGGCAACCAATCAATGTTTCTCAAATCAATGTTTCTCTCTGGTGAGGATTAAACAAACAAACAAAAAATACAACAAAACCTTTCTCCTAACGTCTGGAAGAAGGCTGAGGAATCATGTCTCTTCCTAATCACATGCCCCAATTTCCCCGAGCTGGTTACCCTGGTTTTCAGTCCTCTCATCTCTTTTATCAACTCAGTTGACGGTTGGTTGCCTGATGCTCACTGGCCTAGATCTTATCATGTCTGTGCCAGTTATCAATTCATACAGAGAAGAGACGAAAATGTATATCACAATGGGCTACAGGTGTAACAATTCATCTCATTCCCTTTCAATACAAATGAAAAGAAAATCCCAATGGAAAAATGATATTATTTATAAACATGATATTATTTTCCAAGATGTGCTTGGGGAAAGGGTTAATATAGTATCTATTGGGAAGGAGAAGGCTTACATAAGTGTGATATTTGTTAATCTTAAGGAAAAATTTCCTGTGTAGAATAAATACATACCGAGATAGTAAACCAGGACAACACCACACCAAAAAAACCAAAACAAAGCAGTTTCATCATTAGGAGTAATTTCAACATTCATAACTAGAATATTCAAAGGAAGCAAATACGGTCTTTATAATTCTGTTTGCAAAGATTGTTATAAAATAACTCATCCTAATCTCAAGTTTACTCAGTAAACATTTCTTATTTGTTATGTTCCAGACACTGTCAGATGCTTGAAAGTTTCAAATAAAATGATGAGTTCCAGCCAGTCAGGTTCTGAGTGACTCTACCGACCCTTCCCATCTCAATTACCTCTATCTCTTAAACCATTTCATAACAATGTGTACTTTCCCCCAAAGCGCTCATATTATTATGATTATTAATTAGTTGTAAGTAGTACTCAGTAATAGAGCAGCAATAAAGTATTAAATACATTATAGATGTAAAGCTTTCTCCCCCACAAGGCTGGAGTTCTGTAAGGATAGGAACATGTCCGTTTTTTTGTTTTGTTTTGTTTTTATTTATTTTATTATTTTTTTAAAAAATTTTCTCTCCTTATTGATGAAGGTATTACATATGTGTCCTTATCCCCTGATTGCCCCCACACCCCCCCCCCCACTCATGTCCTCACCCCCCTGGTGCCTATGTCCATTGGCTAGGCTTATATGCAGGCATACAAGTCCTTCGGTTGATCTCTCCCCCTTCCCCCACCCTCCCCAACCTTCCCTCTGAGGTTTGAGGGTCTGATCGATGCTGCTCAGTCTCCGGGTCTGTTTTTGTCCGTTTTGATCACAACTACGTTCCCAGTAACTCTCTGCACAGCGCTTGTGGCACATTTGTGGAACACATGAAGGAACTAACTAACTGAGTCAAAAGGGGGCTCAGAGCCACGAGCGGAGACAGTTTAATCATATGGATAAAGGTGGGCACTGGATACACAGTTATGTTAGAAGCACAGAGGAGGCATCTACTTGAGCAAGGGAGATGATCCAAGTGTACAGGAAAAGAGTAAACATACGCATATTAAATAAAAGAGCACAAATGCCACCGTGGCTGGTGGCTCAGAGGGGTGAAGTGTCGTCCCCTACACTCAAAGGTTGTGGGTTTGTTCCCCCACCCAGGGGCATACGGGAGGCGAGAGATTAGTGTTTCTTTCTCACATAGATGTCTCTCTCTCTCTCTCTCTCTCTCTCTCTCTCTCTCTCTCCCTCTCTATCTCTCTCTCTCTCTCTCTCTAAAAAAAAAAAAAAAAAAAAAATCAATAAAAACATCCTTGGGTGAGGATTTAAAATAAAGTTTTTATTAAAAGAGCATAAGTGCTACAAAAATCTCAAGATGGCACATGAATGGCTGAAGTGTCATAGTACACTGTCTTAGAGGAAAATAATGCATACTTTTGATCCTAGTGAGCAATGTTACCCCAATAAATTTAATTTTTTTAAAAAGAAAATGACTCCTCTCTTTCTCTCACCCTATCTGGTTTTACTTTTATACTACGAAGGGTGTAAACATTTTGAAATGTTTTCTGAATGTCTTCTAGGTGTCCTATCAGCACGTCCAGTTCATTATGACTAAAACTCAAGAGTCTTTAATTACTGCTAACTTCCCCTGAAGCCCAAAGGATGTGAATAGGAGAAATAGTAAGTGTGATATTTACATAACTGTGATTATCCATGCACTGCTAACTAGGGAAATGCAAATTAAAACCACAATACGATATCACATCAACCCCATCAGATTAACCAAAAATTTTAAATGTGACAATACCAAGTGTCAGTGAGAATATGAAGCAATGTGAGGTCTAAATGTGAAAAGTATACATTTTTGCCGAAACCGGTTTGGCTCAGTGGATAGAGCGTCGGCCTGCGGACTGAGGGGTCCCGGGTTCGATTCCGGTCAGGGGCATGTACCTGGGTTGCGGGCCCTTCCCCAGTGGGAGATGTGCAGGAGGCGGCTGATCGATGTTTCTCTCTCATCGATGTTTCTAGCTCTCTATCTCTCTCCCTTCCTCTCTGTAAAAAAATCAATAAAATATATTTTTTTAAAAAAAGTATACATTTTCAAAGGAAATATAATTAATACAATCATTAAGAACTCAACATTTCCAAAATATATATCCTAGAGAAATCTTACACATCAATACTGTACAGGATTTAAAAAAACAACATTTATTTATTGCTTTGAGGAGAGGGGAGAGAGACAGAGAGAAACAGAGGGAAGGAGAGAGAAACATCAACTTGTTCCAGTTATTTAGGTATTCATTGGTTGATTCTAGTTATGTGCCCTGACCAGAGATCAAAACCCAAAACCTTGGCATATGGGATGATATTCTAACCCAGTGATCAGCAAACTGCGGCTCGCGAGCCACATGCAGCTCTTTGGCCCCTTGAGTGTGGCTCTTCCACAAAACACCACAAAACCAAGTGCGGGCGCACACGTACAGTGCGATTAAAACTTCATGGCCCAGAAGTTGGAATTTTGTGGAAGAGCCACACTCAAGGGGCCAAAGAGCTGCATGTGGCTTGCGAGCCGCAGTTTGCCGACCACGGTTCTAACCAACTGAGCTACCTGCCCAGGCTGTACAGGGTTGTTGTTGTTAAACTTACTTTTTGATTAATTCAACAAATATTTAATTCCTATTAAGCTCTATGCACTTGACCATATCAATGAACAAAAGAAAAAACAAAAAAAACCATAGCGCCCTGACCAGTTTGGCTCAGTGGATAGAGCATCGGCCTGTGGACTGTAAGGTCCCAGGTTCGATTCCGGTCAAGGGCATGTACCTTGGTTGCGGGCACATCCCCAGTAGGAGGTGTGCAGGAGGCAGCTGATCGATGTTTCTCTCTCATCGATGTTTCTAACTCTCTATCTCTCTCCCTTCCTCTCTGTAAAAAATCAATAAAATATATATATTTTAAAAAAACACAAAAAACCCACAGCAAGTAAACCATACATCACAAGGTGGTAAGTGCTAAGAGAAAAGGGGGGAAGGTTAAAAGAATAAGATAGAAGGAAGGGATCAGGAGTGTAGAGATTGGGGGGAAAGAGCAGACTGCAGTATTAAGTAGGGTGTACAAAGTGGGCCTCTCTGAGAAATTCTGATTTGACTAAGACTTGAGGAAGTTGAGGGAGTGGAGGAAAAACATTCCACCACATATAGCAAAAGCTGAACACCAATGGAGACCAATGTGACTGAACCCAAAGGAGCAAGCACAGAAGAGCAGGTATTGAGATCAGAGGGAGGGCCTGATAACACAACTTTCTACAGATTTTGAAATGCGTGAAATGAGAAGTCACTGCGGAGTTCTGGCCACAGGAGGGACATATGACATAAATTCCAACGGCCTCACTCTGGCTGCTGTGTTGGGAATTTTGGGGAGATGGGCAGAAGAGTCAGGAGGTTATTTCGAAAATTCAGGCAAGAGATAATGGTGCTGAGAAGGAGATAGTGAAATAGTTGGATTCCGGGTATATTTTAAAAGTAATTTCCTGGTAGATTAAATGTGAGGTCTGAGAGAAAAAGCGATGAGTCAAGGATCCTTGACTCTGAGACCTTTGGCCTGAACAACTGAAAGGATGGAATTGTCATCAACTGGCACATAGTAGAGATATTTTTTTGGAGGAAGGATTGATAGTGCAATTTTGGACATGCTAAGTTTGAGATATCTAAATGACTATAATAAAATGGGCTCTATTACAACCAATTTTACAGACAGTAAATAGAACAAAACAATTTAGTTATTCAAAAACTTCCAACTAAGCAAAGTAATTATTAAGAATGAAAGAGACACTAATTGCAATTTAAGTTTGAGGATGCG